TGAAATGCAGCACCTCATATTTATCTAAATTAAACTCCATCTGCCACCCCTCAGCCCATCTGACCAAGGTCCCGTTGTACTCTGAGGTGCCCATCTTGGCTGTCCATTACACCACCAATCTTGGTGCCATCTGCAGACTTACTAAACATTCGTCCTATGTGCACATCCAAATCATCCCCTTCCCTTTTTAAATAAACTTGTTACATTGACAGTTTTCCCATCTCTCTGGGACTTTCCCTGAATTTAACGATTCCTGGAAGATTACTAACAGTCCATCCACTATCTCTGTCGCTGTTTCCTTTAATATCCTCGGATGGATTCCATCAGGTCCACGTTTCTCCTATGCATGCCGCCAGAATGTCAATTGTAATTGCACAGAAAACAGGAGAAAGCATGGTGCCACAGTGGTTGGCACTGCTACCTCGTAGCGCCAGGGTCCTGGGTTCCATTTCAGCCTTGGGTGACTGTCTGTGTGCAGTCTGCATGTTCTCCCTGTGACTGCATGGGGTTTCCTCCAGCTGCTCTAATTTCCTCCTACAGTCCAAAGATGTGCCGATTAGGTGGATTGGCTGCGGTAGATTGCCCACAATGTGTCGGAAAATTGGGATTATAGGGTAGGGGGTGGGCTGATCTTTGGATGGTCAGTGCAGACTGGAAAGCCACTTTCTGCACCGTAGAGATTTCTATGCAAGACAGCGATGTATCCTTGGCTCGACTGTTGGGAATGGTGCCCCACTGACAAGATTCCAACTTCAGTCTCCACAATGAATAGGAGCTTGAGTGTTAACATTTTCTTCAGATCGCTCCCAACGTGATTTTAATCAAGAACATGCACTGACGCTGCTGCCTGGAGTTATGGCCGCTTGCACAGCATCGAGTGTTTGATTGGATGGTACTTACCTCTGTCCCTCGGAACAGAAACAAGGCAATGGGCCAAATGGCCTCCTTCTGCACTTCGACAGTTCTGTGATCAGCAAGTTACTCCTGATCCTTGTTTGCTCAAAGTGTCACCTCAGAATGGAATGTGTGGACTATATCCTGGCCATCCTTTGATGCTGTCTCATTGATCTGAGCACACCCTTCATTTGACTTTGGACATCTCTCATCTCATCACAAAGTAGTGGCGTTGCTGGTAGATAGTTTGACATCGGTAAACTAAAGGTCTCTGTGTGTGTGCAGCAAAATCTCTCTCTTTCTCCTTACTCAGGCCTTCCTACAGGAATGTGTGACAATGCAACCACTGTCGTCAGATTCTTCCCCTACACAAAGCTTCAGATCTCAAACAAAATCTCTTCATGCTTGGTGGATCTTTGCTAATTCCTTAGCATTTGGCAAAGGTTTATGGTCTATCTTAGTTATA